ATCTAGAAGCTAGCGACGCCGAGGCGCTCGCATATACCTTCATTCGAGTCATATTAGCCGATCATGGGATGCCAGAAGAAATCATCTCAGATAGAGACAAGCTCTTTACTTCGAAATTCTGGAAATCATTGATGGCGCTACTGGGAACAAATCATAAGCTGTCAACAGCTTTTCATCCCCAGACAGACGGCCAAACAGAAAGATTAAATCAGACCCTTGAACAGTACCTGCGAAGCTATGTCAATCATCAACAGGATAACTGGGTTCAGATCTTACCCATTGCACAGTTTGCATATAACAGCGCGATGACAGAAGCAACGAAAGTCTCACCGTTCTTTGCCAATTACGGCTACCAGCCAGAAGCATATAGGGAACCAAGACCGGATGAATCACGAGCTGAACAAGCCCTGATCGTGGTGGAACAACTGAAATCGTTCCACAAACAACTTGCGACGGACATCCAATTCTTAAATGAACGATCCGCCGCATACGCAAACAAGAAGCGCAGTATGGAACCTGCCTTCAAGGAGGGGGATAAAGTATACCTACTCCGGAAACATATCAAAACGAAACGACCAAGCACAAAGTTGGACTTCAAGAAATTGGGACCATTCAAAATATTGAACAAAGTCAGCTCAGTTAATTACAGACTGCAGCTACCCAGGAAGTCTAGACTACACCCGGTATTTCATGTCTCACTACTGGAACCAGCAAGAGGAAATACCCCAATTGCGACCGACACCGAACTCCAACCCGAGAATGAGATAATCGAATATGAGGTCGAAGCGATCCTAGACAGAAGGTTAGTAGGACGTCGAGAAGAGTTTTTGATAAAATGGGAAAATTACGAACCTACGGATAATTCGTGGGAACCAACAAGGAACATCAGCAAAGAACTGCTGGAGGAATATCGACGCCGCCATCCGCCAGCTATTGATCCCAAGATGCAGGGGAGTAGGCCAGTGGATCGGAGGAAGCGGGGTCCCGGTCACAGACGAGGAGGCAGCGCTAACTGCCTGTTCCTCGGCCTCAACAGCGTCACGGTTCTCAGCAGCCACACGTTCGGCCTCCTCTGCCGCATCAAGCTCGTCGAGGTTTTTCAAACCTCGCCGGAGCATATCTATACCACGGGTTCGGATGAGGCGTTTCTGCTTCCGCAGACGAAGTAACTTCGAAAGGGTTTCTTCCTCTTCGCGATCCAGGCGATCCTCCTCCCGTTCGAGCTTCACCCAGTCGGGATGCTCAGGACCCATACAGTCACATTTTTCTTTCAAGTTGTGACGAACGCACTCGGCGCACCGCCGTGAATCATTTGGAGACGACACGCAAGTAACGTTTCGCCTCACGCAGTTCGAGCAAGAATCCATTTCGGGTAGTTCGTATCCGTGGTTCTTTATTCGACGGACAAGATCGTTGCGTTCCTGGAGTTTGCGGGCAGTGTCAGTAGGCATGTTGCATGTTGAAGGACTCGCTGAGGAGCAGCAGAGTCCCGGGGACATGGACGTACTTATAGGATTCGAGACGAATGCCCAGGGGAAGGGAGCGAGTGTTACGACGGAACAAGAAGGCTGGCCAACTACAGGACAGGAAGGAGGGAGGTCGCATGAGACCGGCCCTGGTACCTGGAGGGGCAGCGGGGAATAGTAGTTCTGAAAGTATCACGTGACGGACTCGCAGGATGATGAGAAGAGTCCTAAGAGTCCAGGACTCCGAGGACTCGAGTGAGTTCCCAGGAGTCCACTAGGCACGTGACGGAGTCGCAGGATGATGAGAAGAATCCTAAGAGTCCAGGACTCCGAGGACTCGAGTGAGTTCCCAAGAGTCCACTAGGCACGACGCCACTATATAAGTAGATAGTATTTCCTTAGATAGGAGCTTCGTGCTCAACTCAATACAGTATTTGTTATATACTAGTAACGTGTTACTTGAAGCCTTTGTGTCTGATCCCCTGCCTCCTCTGATAAGTAAACCTTTACGCAAGAGAACCTCTGTGTCTTCTATCGTTTAGAAGTCAGCGTTACAGGTGGGTGCACCAGATGTGAGAATCTAGCCACCCAAGGAAGGGATGATTTTACTAAGACAAGACACTGTCTTAGAAAAAGAGCCAAAGGGTCATAGCTTAGACTATTCCACAACGCAGCAATCAAGTGTATGATGTAGTGGAGTGGTTTAGACAAGTTGTACAAATGTTGAGTCTGAGAACTCAGGGATAAGTCAGAGGTTAGCACCTCACTGGCTTTTCAGAAACAAGGAGTAACAAGATCAATGCTTGGAAGCTTGGAAAAGACGTGGAAGTATGTGATAGTCGATTTACTGTATTGTCTGCTTGCCCTTTCTTAAGGAAAGGGCAATCCTATTTATGCTAAAGGAGTGTAGTTCTCTCATTTTCCAAGACTTTCCATGACTAACCAGGCTTGGTAACTGTAGTCGACGTAAGAGAATCCCATAGAACCATCTTGTCATACTGACATTCGTTGCACTCAGTTTGCTATCAAACTCAAGAGCAAACTTGGAAATCTCCTCCTCAAACCTACAAGTCACTATACATATTTTGGCTTATCACACCAACAACAAGAGCAATACTACTCAACGATTGCTACAACCATCTATGATTCATTACACGTCATCGCTCCTTAGTTACTGGGCCGATATTACCACATAGCATATCTCTACAACCCTCTATGATTCATTACATGACATCACTCATACTACCACATGACATATCTCTACCAACTAGAGGCCTAGGAGCATGAACGATAGCTCTAAAAGCTCCTACGAACCTCTATGATTCATTACATGTCATCGCTCTTTAGTTACCCACAAGATTGGTTAAGTTATGACATAATTTGTCTATGACATAATTTGTCTATGACATAATTTGTCTATGACATAATTTGTCTATCAGGGTACTCTGACCTTGGACCTCCTTTTACTTCCTATAGGCTACGAACCTAAGAGATGGTTCTATGGGATTCTCTTACATCGACTACAGTTACTAAGCTTGGTTAGTCATGGAAAGTCTTGGAAAATGAGAGAACTACACTCCTTTAGCATAAATAGGATTGCCCTTTCCTTAAGAAAGGGCAAGCAGACAATACAGTAAATCGACTATCACATACTTCCACGTCTTTTCCAAGCTTCCAAGCATTCATCTTGTTACTCCTTGTTTCTGAAAAGTCAGTGAGGTGTTAACCTCTGACTTACCCCTGAGTTCCCAGACTCAACATTTGTTGCAACTTGTCTGAACCACTTCACTACATCACACACCTGATTGCTGTGTTGTGGAATAGTCTAAGCTACGGCCCTTTGGCTCTTTTTGCTAAGACAGTGTGTTGTCTTAGTAAATTCATCCCTTCCTTGGGTGGCTAGATTCTCACATCTGGTGCACCCACCATTACACTATATTCCTTGTTAAGGGAGCGTTATGAAAGGTCTGATCTATGAAGTTGGTGATATTCTGTCGAGCTGACTGCTACAGGAGCCAACTTTATGTTTCAACCTCTATAAGGTCCTAGAATCGACTTTAGGATATAGTAGGATTTCTAAAGAAGGGATTTCGAATTTCAATATCAAGGTTCACGCTTAGAGAGCAAAAGAAAGGTGAAATTTAATCTTATGTTATAATTGTCATAGAGGTCATGATGCTAGTCTCGGTAAAGTAAGCTAGATTGAATCTAAAGAGAGAAGAAGATGAAAGGAAGGAAGAAGGTGAGGCATTCCTCATTATATGTAGCTGTGCGCTTAGCGATCCCTTGTAACCTTGGTTGCTACTATAGGTGCCTGTTCCCATAGTTGCTAGCAGCTGTGATGTGGGATCGTAACAAGTGGGATGTAGCGCGAGCGTAACCATATATCATTATAGCTGGCCACTGCTATAGCCCCTGTTCTAAACCCTTGAAAGAAGAGGGTTTTGGGGTTAATTAGCGTAGTGGTAGGGTAGGTAGTAGAGGGTTTCAGCTTAAATAGCGTATATAATTAGGCTACTAGCACTACAGAGGTGTTAGCCTTAGGCCAGCCTTAGCAGCTCGATCTAAGGGTTCTACGGCAGCAGGCTAAAGAGCAGAAAAAGGGGAAGGGTAGGAGCCGGGCCCGGCGTTAGGTTGGGGGTGAGCTTAATGCTGACCGGGCCTAGGAGCTTCGGGCTCCTAAAGCTGAGCTTATAGCCTAGAAGGCCTAGGCGAAGGAAGCCCGAGCGGCCCGGCAAGCTGCCAACCGGGCCCGTAAGCAGCTCTACGGGGCGGGGGTTGAGGCCCGGAAACAGGAGCGCCTCCGGAAGAAGAGGGTAAAAGCTCATATTTCAGCTGGCAACCCAATTCCTCCAGAGGACTGGAATTCCGGACCCAGAAGCTGGCTCTAAGCCCGAGCCTGGGTTCGAACCTGGGTTTGAGTTCGAACCCGAGCCTGGATCCGAGCCTGGATTTGAGCCAGGCTTTGAGCTTGCTCGAACCCGGGAGCCAGCTTGCGCGGCAGCTCCAATCGGCGCTTGAGTAGGATGGGAGTGGAAGTGATAATTTTTGTAAAATAATTGATCTATGTACCTTTCCATATAATTTACTATATAAAGGTACCTACAATATTTGGTGGTCGCGAAGGCATATCGCTATTTAATAGATCTACCACAACCTAGTAATATTAGCTATATGTGAAACTTTGGTTCTCTATTAGCCGTTTGTTTTAGTAGTAGTAGTAATAGGAGTCACATTAGCAATGCAAAGCGCCTCCCCCATATAAATACTTGTTGACTGACAGAAGCTCAAGATCGCCAAACTAATAAATTGTCAGCACACGGACCACAAGGCTGAAATTCGCCAACCTCCTCAGTCCAACCTGCTCCCGTCAACGAAGCAAACAATACTACACGAAACACTACTATCACCACCTTCATTTGAATAAAACTTCCGCTGGTCATAATATATTGACAATAGCGATGACCTTACTGCCATGGTTTATAGACGCAAACTACTTCTGAAACCAGCAACGCGTCTTTGATTCTGACCCAAATGTCAGCCTCATTAGGCGCAGGCTTGACTACGCTTTCGAGACCCAGGATAGCCGTTGTCCTGGTCACTGTCCTGGCAAGTGTGTATGGTATTTACTACCTACACAGTAGCAGCGATGGCACCGAAACGACCGCAGAGCCTATTACATCGTCTGGGCCTGGACTTCACCGTACCAACGCAATTCGCCGTCGCCACCGACGACCAATGCCCCGAACTGGCGATGGTGCTGAGGACAACCCAGACACATCCCACGATGAGTCCGACGATACTGATGGTGAAAGCGCGCCAGTGGTTCTGAGACCCCTTACCGATGGCGAAACGTTAGTCGACGAGGCCGCATTTGACGAATTCGACGATCCCTTGTGGAACCGACAGCGCGCTGGACAGCATATGGTACAACTGCTATTTCGAATATCCGAAGATGCTACAAAACGAAACGCATATGTTCATCGTGGGACGCTATGTAATGCTTGCGGAGTTGTTCCAATCCGCGGTATTAGGTATCGCTGTGCAAACTGTGCGGACTATGACCTCTGTGAATCCTGTGAATCCCAAGGCCACCACTACAGGACACACGTTTTCTACAAGATTCGAGTTCCTATATCCAACTATGCACCGAGGCAATTGCAGTCGGCGTTTTATCCTGGTGACCCAGACACTGCCGTCAAGATGTTGACGCGCGAACTCACGACAAGGCTCACAAGAGAGACAGGCCTAGATCGGCCCGAAATCGAGGCCTACTGGGAGCAGTGGACATATATGGCAAACACAGAATGGCGCGACGACCCAGACGGACTTTTTCTGGCCATGGACCGACGAACATTTGACCGCTGCCTCGTTCCGTCGGACGGAAACCGCTATGCGGCGCCGAATCTCATACACGACCGCATGTTCGCATTCTACGACCAAAACAACGACGACTTAATCAGTTTTCCAGAATACTTACAAGGGCTGGCGTTTCGGAAAAGCAAGAACAAGCTCAGAAGGGTATTTGATGGGTACGACATCAACGGAGACGGATTCGTCGATAGAAAAGACTTTCTACGGATGTTCCGATCGTATTACGTTTTATTCAAGAATATGCGGAAAGATATGCTGGACAGTATGGATGAGCATGCAGTTAATAGTGTTGAAGCACATCAACTTGTCCACAGCAGGCAACCCCTGAGTAGTGCCTTTGGCCGTGATGGTCGATTCGGACGTGCTTCAAATCCACGTTCTCCTGGGGAAGGGAAACAGCCCAATCCAGACGGCGACCTCGAAATCGTTGATGGTAAAGGGATTGTAAATCCAAGCGGCGACGACCACGGCGACAAAGAAGACGTATTTAGAGACCCCCTCGGTCGGGCCATGAACGATTTCCCACCGAACGGGACTGGTAACTACTGGGGAGTCGTGTCATCTCCACCGCCCACGCTGGAAACCTTGCAAAGCAGAGTGTTGGAAAATATTTTGTCAAGTCGGAGTCAGCAGGAGAGTACTCCACCCCGGAACGAACGATCTGAAAATCAGGAGCTAGCAGACGAAATTAATGTGAACTGGCCCCCAGGAATTGTTGAGCCTTGCGATGTATCCGAAGTCCTCGGTATGGATATGCCGCTCGATCAGGTGCCTCTGAGCCAACGAGCTAAAATTATAGACGAGGCTTCAAGACGAGTGCTGCGCAACGCCCATATGGAGCAGGAGGCAATTACTAATGACCGCATGCATGAGCGGTGGAGGAGGCGCCAGTTTTATACTGATGAAGAGGAGGGAGTAGAGGCACCTTCGGACTGGAAAATCGAAGAAGACGTCCCTCTTGGTGAGACGAAGTCGGAGGATGCTCCTCAAATACCTGCCCCATCTCCTCGCTCACGATCGTCGTCGAAGGTTCGGTTTGCAGAAGACATGGACGACTACGAAACCAGATCGAACCCATCAACGTCATCGCGCAGTGTTCCGGAGCGTTGGGGTGGAATGGAGATACCTGACGCAGAGAAGGACGCAGGAAAAGATGTCTTATACCAAGTCGCCCAACAGGCGTTCAATGAACTTCTCGACAACCTGTTTAAAAATGCAGAGGATGCTGCTATTGCTTCGCTTTCGTCTAAGAAGACCAGAGCCCTACACCACCATTTATTTACAAATGTATATTTTAAATGGTGGGCTGAGCAGGTTGACATGATTTACGCCGAGAAAAACGACAAAGAATCTGATGATTCGGATAAGAAGAGCCTCGAGGCTGAACTTGCACATCACATGCAAAGGGAAATCAGGTTATGGAATGAAGAGCCGAACAACACAGGTGTCGAGATAGAGGAGACGCGCGAGGCCCCTCTAGATGTACTGCTCGCTGCATCAGGATATTCAGTCGAACACGGCACCGCAGCCACTGAATCTGGTGCTACCCCTGATGAAGATATAGCAGTACATGACGCCTCGTCACCCGAAAGTCAAAGTTTGGATACACCAGTCGATGAGCACCACCGTGACCTCCTGGAAGTCCTCCGCGACCCTATCCCAGACCAAACAGAACCCCCGTTGCCCACCGACGAGGACGACTTCACAGATATGTTGCAATCATATCGTGATCCAACCCTACCCCAATTCCGGCCTTCAGCCGCATCGCCTCCCGCCTCCAATCCACCACCCCCAGAACCCCAAGACATACCACTACCCACAACCGAAACCTCCGAACCATCTCACCGCGAAGGCAGCGACCGCTCAAACAACGAACGCTCGCGCACCTCCAAACGAGGCAGCAAAGCGCACCGCAGCCGCGCTAAGAACTCTACTGAGTCCTCTCCGCCAAACCCTGAGAAAACTCCACTCCGCGACCTGCAAAAGGAGCTTCTCACCGAGATGAAAGCCGACGCTACTGTACCGACCGAAGTCCACCGCAGCCTTGCGAAGTGGGACTGGATGGCACTGTACAAGCTGCACGAGATGGAGAGTACAGAGGCCAAGGCGCGGACGCGTGGTGGATGGGGCCGGATCGGCTGGGTCGAGTTCGAGGATATCGTGCGCCTGCGGGATGCGGCGTGGCGGGCCGAGAAGCGGGAGTTGAAGGAGGCGGGGAAGGCACAGGCGGGGACGAGGATCATGAAGAGGGAGGAGGATGTGGAGAGGATGGTGGAGTATCTGGGGAGCTGGATTGAGATGTGTATCCCGGGATAATGGGTGTTGGTGGGTGCTGGCTAATGGGTATGTGGGCGAAAAGGGACGCTTACAATGTATATTATGGGTTCGCAATAGCGTTAATGTTGCTTCCGAATAAGGAAAGGACGATGGCTAGATGGGAAGAGCATAAGGAAGGCACAGGAGATGGAGATAGGAGGTGCGAAGCTGACATGCCAATAAAAATTTGGAAGGCACGTATGTCTTTTAACAGGAAGGTGCGATGGTCTACTGTGATAAATGGGCGAAGGGACCCTTGAAAGTTTTAGAATTCAATTCTAGTATCTATGGTAATGTTCGCGCTGCGCCCATGTTATATCCTGGGTTCGACGAAACGTTTGGTGTTCCTGAAGCACAGATCGTTCCCCCGGGCGCCTCGGCATTGTGGAACCCGGTTTGGGACTTGGCGAGCATCATTTCGTTGCTCTTCAAACCACGCGTGTATCACATCACCACCCGTCCAATTTTCCCAATTGTCCCAATGGTGATGATTTTTGGGTAGGGTACTCTAGTTCCCGTCCCATTTGTCTTGGCTCTGTTGCAAAACTTGTCTCAGGAGTCTGCTTTGCTCGAAAAATGCCTACATAACCCGCGCTCTCCCCTCGTCTGTTCCAATCCTTATCATCCAAACTATCTCCCATCTCATTCTTTTCCGCCTGCAAATTTTAATTTCGTCGCCGGTCGACAGCCAGTCTTTCTAGAAGCCATCAAAAAGCCTTATATACACCAATATCACCGCCATAATGCAGTTCAAGATCCTCACCATTGCTTCGTTCCTCGCTGTTGCTATTGCTGCACCCGCCGTTCAATCCAGCGGAGGTAAACATGCCTCCCCGCATATATGCTACTGAATACAGCTAACAACCATTGTGCAGAGATCGTTGTCCGCGCACCGCTTCCCGCAGTCCTCAGCGAGAGCGCAGCAATGAGCAACGCCAATGGAGAGGTCATTCCTTTCTCCTCGACTGGCGTTCACCAGCCACTCAAGGCTGCCGGGAAATAAATGGATGGAAGGGTTATAATTTAGAGGCACACTACACTACGTATGTGTGGCCTTGTATGTGTGAACATTCGGTTTTCAATGGAAGAAGGGGAGTATCTAGGGATGGAAACGAGTGGTTGTGGGATACGGACATTAGAAAGTGATGGGATTCGGTTGTCGAAATTATGTGCAGTTATTGATTCGGTATCTTTATTGTCGAACCATATTCTGCCTATATTGTCTTATGCCTCATCTTGACCTGTCATCATTTTTGGAGCTTGGTTGCGATTCTAGTCTACATGAGTGTGCTTCTCCATGGTTATGAGAGTAACGAGCAGAAGGAAGGCACAAGTCTTCAACGGAAGGCGCGAAGCTGTAACATGAGGCGCTAACATAATATGGAAATTAGTAGAGGGAAGGCACGTCTTTTGAACGGGAAGGTACGATGGGTTACTTCACAGAAGAGGCATAACATAAGACTCTGGCTAGGAATTTCATTGTTTGCATCGTAACGTAATATTCTTCGCGCTGCGCCTATCGGATCAACCAAGTGTCCCCCCACAAGCAAGTGTCCCCTCTCAGGGCAAAATAAGTAGGTACCTGTATATAGAAAAACATATAAAGAGGTACTTCTTCTCATTTATTCTACAATGGTTTTTACCTTCTACAACCTGTTGAGTAATAAATGTATGTATTCCTGACTATGTAACCTATACTTGGCTTTACCGATAATCCGTACGGAGATCACGTGAGATCATGTGACTATTACAACACACCCCCCCACGTATCCCCGTACGAGCCTCAAATTGTAGTGTGAGAAACTTGGGAAAAAAGGTGTCAAGTACGCCCGATGATTCACATCTACGCCCGGTGACTCATTTCCGATCGAAAAAGAAGTTGGCCACTTCGATTCGGATCTTCCATCTTTCTTCCATATCGGTCATCTATACCTTGGACTGCCTGGCTGCCTTCTGCCTTCTGCCCCTGCCTGCCCTGCATCTCCTATCCTACGACTCATGTACCTTTTAGCGTTCTTATGAGTCCGTACGAGCTAACGCTTATAGATTCCTCCCAAGATGATCGGGAGCCCACCCCTCCTCCGAAGGATGACACTCCTCATCCTGGAGAACGTGCTGGGACTCGGGCCCATGCGCGGAAGTTGGCGCTTGAGGCTGCGCAAAGAAATGGTGGTAGGAATGCTGTTTAAGTAGGGATTTGGATGTACGGACTTGTGGTTCTTGGGTTTTTCTTGTTTTGCGGTGGCTTTCTTGTATAGATTGACAGAAATGGCAATGGATTTCTTGGTGATTCGGGGATTCTCCTGTTTTTATATGGTAAAAGTCGGGGATTTCCCTTGTTACCCCTGATTTCCCCCCTTTTGTTGAAATGGGTTTTTTATTTCGAAAAAAAATATGAAATCCGCCGTACGAGGCGGAAACAACAGATACAGCTCTTCAACAAGAGGAAGCAGTAGAGATAGAACCTCAAAAGGATATAGAGGTCCAACATGAAGAGCCTCAACTCCAGACACCTGAAATGACACCAGAGCATTCAGAAGACAGCGTACGGAGACACGACATCTACCTTGCAACCATTGCACACCCAGAAGCAAGGATAAGCCAGCACCAAGCTTTCATCGTTGGTACAGAGTTCCAGAAACGTAAGATACATCGTACGGAGCCCCCTGCTGCTCCGAAGTATTGGAACCAGCTTCAAAACCACCCTCATAGGCTTGGTTTCAAGGCTGCAGCGGAAAAGGAAATAACAGACCTTTGGAAGCAAGACACCTTCAAATCGATGCCAGACAGCACTGTACGGAGTTTTGTCATTCCACTAATGTGGGTATTTACCTACAAATTTGACGATAATGGCTACCTTGTCAAATACAAGGCTAGACTTGTTGTAAGAGGGGACCTACAGCATTACTCAATCCATGATGAGACGTACGCAGCTACCCTTGCTTCAAAGACCTTCCGAGCCCTCATGGCTATTACAGCCTACTTCGATTTGGATACAGAGCAATTAGATGCAATAAATGCCTTTACAAACAGCCGCATTGATGAGGAGGTCTACGTACGATGTGCTGACGGTTATGAGGAGCAAGGACAATGCTGGAAACTCAACAGGGCCTTATATGGACTCCGACGGTCACCACTCCTATGGTTCCGCGACTTTTCAGATACACTGAAGAAGCTAGGCCTTGTACAGGTCCCAGAAGCCCAGTGTCTATTCGTCTTATCTACAATCATTGTGTTCTTCTATGTAGACGATATCTGCATTCTAAGCCATCCCTACCACAAGGCAGAAGCAACAGAGTTCCGTACGAAACTTATGGAAGCCTATGAATTCCGTGAAATAGGAGAACTTGAATGGTTCTTAGGAATAAGAATTATAAGAGACCGGACAGAGAGAACACTCTGGCTATGCCAGGACACATACATCGACAAAATAACGACTACGTACAGAGTAACGCCATTGTCGAAAACAGTTAAGGTTCCAATGGTTAATGACAATCTCACTCCATACGATGGGCAAGCAGACAAACATCAAATCCACCTATATCAACAGAAAGTAGGATCTACCAACTACGCTGCAGTGGTTACAAGACCAGATATATGCTGTACGGTGCAGAAACTATCCGAATACCTTGTTAACCCAGGACCAGACCACATGGCAGCAGTCGATCGACTTGTACTCTATCTAAAGGAGACAAAACATCTAGCCCTCCAGTACGGACCAAAGATCAATACACCATGCTTCCAATGCTCTAGTGATGCTTCGTACGCAGATTGCGGAGCTACAAGAAAGAGTACAGAAGGGTATCTCTTCACACTCTTTGGAGGAGCAATTGACTGGCGCTGTACAAAGCAGAAAACCGTATCAACCTCAATTACAGAAGCTGAGCTTCTAGCTCTATCACATAGTGCAAAACAGCTCTATTGGTGGCAGCGATTTTTCTCAACTATCAACTTGATCTTAATAAGAAGTTCATCCTACAATGTGACAATATGCAGACCGTACGGCTCTTACTCAAAGAGCCCGAAGCTAGTTACGAAACTCAAGCATATTGATATTCACTCCCACTGGCGTTGATATTTCTTGTAGAGGTTGTAGAGCTGCGCACTCCTCTTCATATTCCTCTCCTTCCTTTTCTAAAAGGTCAGGAAGTTCAATGACCTGGACTGTCTTTTGGAGCTCCAATTCTACAACTGTATCTTCGTACGATGGATCATACACCTTTGTCTCGTCAAAAGCAACGTCCCTGGTGTTACGACGGAACAAGAAGGCTGGCCAACTACAGGACAGGAAGGAGGGAGGTCGCATGAGACCGGCCCTGGTACCTGGAGGGGCAGCGGGGAATAGTAGTTCTGAAAGTATCACGTGACGGACTCGCAGGATGATGAGAAGAGTCCTAAGAGTCCAGGACTCCGAGGACTCGAGTGAGTTCCCAGGAGTCCACTAGGCACGTGACGGACTCGCAGGATGATGAGAAGAATCCTAAGAGTCCAGGACTCCGAGGACTCGAGTGAGTTCCCAGGAGTCCACTAGGCACGACGCCACTATATAAGTAGATAGTATTTCCTTAGATAGGAGCTTCGTGCTCAACTCAATACAGTATTTGTTATATACTAGTAACGTGTTACTTGAAGCCTTTGTGTCTGATCCCCTGCCTCCTCTGATAAGTAAACCTTTACGCAAGAGAACCTCTGTGTCTTCTATCGTTTAGAAGTCAGCGTTACACCTGGTTACTATAACCCTCTTAAGATTTGGAACCCATATTCTAAAGATGTTTGTAGAGTTGTAGCCAATAAGATAGCCTATTTGGGCGGTCCTCTCTATCCTCTTTAGCTTTGGTTGCTTAAGGAGGAGTGCATAGGCTATACATCCATAGGCGCGGATATGAGAGAGTAAGGGCTTAGTAAGCTCTGGCTTTTGAAGCTGCGAGGGTAGGGACTGGAGTAGAAGTCCGTACGGAGTCTCATCATTAATGACAGATGATGGAGACCGGTTTATAAGGTAACCTGCAGTCCGAAATATTTCAGGCCAAATTCCTTGTGGTAGGTTGCCTGCTTCCTTTAAAGCTCGTGAGCGTGTGATTATCGTACGGCCTGAACGTTCGATTCCACCATTTGGCAAAACGTGCCTCAAGTGGCATCGTCCTCGGTAATCTCACTCTCACTCTCACCCCACCACAGTCTCCAGCTCCCAATCCGGCTCAAGCTCGCCGTCGACATGTTCCCGGTCCGCGTCGTCTTCGCTGTCAGAAGACTCGTACTCCTCAGCCAGGGCGACGTCAGGAAGGTGGCAGTGCTACAAAGAGTCAGTGGGGTTAGCGGTGACAAGACAGAGGTGATACGTACGATAGCCTTCTGGAGGTCATTGCCAAGACGAGTAGTGCGGCGCAGGCTTCGGACCTCCGACGCGATCTCAAGGACGGCGAGGCCAAGATTTACCTTCTGCGGCTGCGAGTCGTGACCCACACGGTGGTGGTGACGAAGGAGATTCTTGCCTTGCACGACGTAGGCTGTATATTTCTCCTGGACGGCTGCTAAGATCTTAGCACGGTTGTTGGCTAAGGTCTTGGAGAAGGCCTCCTCGTCGCGCTGGATGGCGTCGCGATACAGCTGGAAGACGTCGGCAAGGCGATTGAACTGGCGGAGAGTGAAGGTCGGGATCTAGGCTGTTAGTAAACAGACAAGACGTAGAGGGTCTGTGGACTTACTGGGAGGCACTTGTTATGTTGCTCCACGCAGTACTCGCAGCGGCTCATCGGATTCTTCTTCTCGCAAACAAGGAGTCGGCGATCTCGGTACACTCGCTTGGAGCAACGAAGGCAGAGGTTGAGCTTGGCCTTCTTGCGACGGGGAGGCAACTATGACCTCCGAGGGGGTGTTGTGGCGGTGAGCACACGATGGGGTTGCAAGGACACGACGGCGCAGGTCCACCACAGAATCTGAGCATCCAGGGCGCAGTGGAGAGCGGCCACGGTGAGACGGACCAGCGACAGAAAGGTTGCGGGCAGGGCGCGTAGTGTCATCCTCAACGCTCGGAAGGGGCTCCTCGTCTGCCCCGTGGGTAATGGCGAGAGCTTGGGCAGCAGCTTCCTTCGCTTTCTTGTGCCTGGCCCTAGTGGTAGCAGCTTTCGCTGCCGTCGCCTTCTTCTTCTCCAACAAGGCATCAACGGCAGCCAGGCGTTCTGCTTCAGTGAGCCGAGCCTCTGGGACCTAGATGGTGAAGCCTCACTTGGAAATGAATGGGAGGGTTGGATTAAGGACGAAGGATATGAAATCCACATCTCTCCACCCTATACAGCAGAGCCGAACGGAGGAATAGAGAGGTCAGGCCGTACGATAATCACACAATCACGCGCACTTAAAGAATCAGCCAACTTACCAGAAGGAATGTGGCCTGAGATTTTCAAAACAGCAGGGTACCTCATAAACCGCTCACCATCGTCAGTCATAAACGATGAGACCCCGTACGGACTTCTTCTCCAGTCTTTACCTACAGAGAGCCAAAAGCCAGAGCTACTTAAGCCATTACTCTCTCATATTCGCGCTTATGGCTGTAGAGCCTATGCCCTTATTCTAAACAAGCCAAAGCTTGAGAGGATACAGAGGATCGCCCAAATAGGCTACCTAGTTGGCTATAACTCTACAAACATATTCCGCATTTGGGTTCCGCAACTTAAAAGGGTTATAGTTACAAGAGACGTTACCTTTGATGAGACAAAGGCTTATGACCCTTCGTACGAGGCTCAGCTTGTCCAAACAGAGCTCAAAAAGACAGTTCAGGTCATTTAAATACCAGATATTCAAGATCAAGAAGATGAGGAGTTTGAGGGGGAACAACAGCCTCAGAACGGGACAACAATTCCGTACGAATCAGAGGCAACAAACACCTCCTCTCCTCAAGAAGAGCCGCCTACTCAGAAGGACCACGGAGCTACAGAGCTACAGGAACAACTTCAAACGCCTGAAATGACACCGGAACGCCCTGAGGACACTGTACGAAGACACGACGTCTACCTAGCTACAATAGCGATACCAGAAGCAAAGCTAAGCTTACACCAAGCTTTCCTAGTAGGAACGGAGTTCAATCGACAGAGCATACACCGTATGGACCTACCAGCTGCTCCAAAGTTCTGGAATCAACTCCAAACTCATCCACATCGAATAGGATTCCAAGCTGCAGCTGCAAAGGAAATAGGAGACCTTCGAAAGCAAGGAACGTTCACATCTGTCAACGACAGCTCCGTATGGAACTTTGTGATACCCCTTATGTGGGTTTTCACATACAAATTCAATGACAATGGCTACCTTCTTAAATATAAGGCTAGACTTGTTGTAAGAGGCGACCTACAATGCTATTCTATCCATGATGAGACGTACGCAGCTACGCTTTCTTCGAAAACCTTCTGAGCCTTAATGGCAATCACAGCCTACTTTGATTTGGATCCACAACAATTAGATGCTATAAACGCATTCACAAACAGCCGTATTGATGAGGAGGTCTACGTACGGTGTGCAGACGGCTACCAGGAGCAAGGAAAATGCTGGAAACTTAACAGGGCACTCTATGGACTTCGAAGGTCCCCCTTACTCTGGTTTCGAGACTTCTCAGAGACACTCAAGGCTCTAGGCCTCGTACAGGTCCCAGAAGCACAGTGCCTCTTTGTATCTTCAAAGATTATTGTCTTCTTCTATGTTGACGATATTTGCATCCTTAGCCATCCTAGCCACAAAATGGAGGCAACACAGTTCCGTACGAGACTGATGGAAGCGTATGAGTTTCGAGAAATAGGAGAACTTCAATGGTTCTTAGGCATAAGAATTGTGAGGGACCGCACCCAGAAAACCCTATGGCTGTGCCAGGACTCCTATATCGACAAGATCACAACTACGTACGGAGTAGCCTCTATTCGATCCACCCGAACGCCAATGGTTACAGACAACCTAACCCAATTTGACGGCCAGGCAGATAAGCAACAAATCCATCTTTACCAACAGAAAGTAGGATCAGCAAACTACGCAGCAGTCGTAACGAGACCTGATATAGCCCGTACGACACAGAAACTATCTGAATTTCTCATCAATCCAGGCCCAGACCACATGGCTGCAGTCGACAGACTTCTACTCTACCTTAAGGATACTAAGACCCTAGCTCTTCAGTTTGGACCTAATATTCAAGAGGCTCGCTTTCAATGCTCTAGTGACGCTTCGTACGCAGACTGCGAATCAACAAGAAAGAGCACAGAGGGTTATTTGTTTACCCTATTTGGAGGGGCAATAGACTGGCGCTGCTCAAAGCAGAAGACTGTGTCAACCTCTACAACAGAGGCAGAGCTTCTAGCTTTGTCCCACAGTGCGAAACAGCTCTATTGGTGGCAGCGTTTCTTTTAACACAATCAAACTCGATCTAAACGAGCAATACTCACTTAATTGTGATAATTTGCAGACCGTACGGATCTTACTTAAGGAGTCTCCAAAGCTAGTTACAAAGCTGAAGCATATTGATGTCCACTCACATTGGTTAAGACAGGAGGTTGAGCATCGGAACCTCAATATTAAGTGGATAGCTACGTACGAGATGCCAGCAGACGGCTTTACTAAGGCCCTACTCCATCAGAAGCACAAGGAGTTCATTAAACATTTGAACCTTGTAGACATAAAGCATCTCCTATAGGAGTGCATACATACAACACAACCCCGTACGAAGCACTGGCTACCTTTGTACTATGGAAAGCAGCCCCCTAGACCAAAGAGTCTAGTCTTCTACTTCACTAACTGAAAAGTGAGGCAAGACAAGAATAGCTAATGGATGAGTTCCGTACGGAGGTAGAACTCTCAAAAGCACCAAAGCCGCCTACAGTTACACCTAGTTTTACTATGCGTTCTTATTTCAACTTTCCCAATGGAATACCTTGGGAAATAATAAACATACACTCATTTGGAAGACTACACAACTCTGTACGACATAGATGCAATATATGCATGGAGATTTCACATTCATTTTTCGAAATTCCAAACCCATTTCAACAAAGGGGGGAAGGCAGACAAGAGCAGGAGAAATCCCTGACTTTTACTATACAAAAACAGGAGAATCACCCATTTTCCCACACTCACAACTACGTACGGACCTGTCACATTAAAATTGCAGAGAAATCCACTGTCATTGAGGCCTCATTCACAACCGAGAGCACCAGAACCCGAGAGCACCAGAACACCGAGAGCACCAGAACACTGAGAGCACTAGAAGTGAGGCGTACGGAGATTACCCACGAAGCTGAGCAGCAGCTTCTTCATCAATAGCTTTCTGTCGGGCGAAGGCACGGGTGCCAGATCTTTTCCCAGCTTTGGGAGATGGCGGAGGTGGTGGCGTGGCAGGTCTCCAAGTTTTCTTGTGGCCTACTATGTGTTAGTGTCGTACGCAGCATAGGAATCAACAGAAAGGTACAAACTTACTCAAGGAACAAGCAGCTGACTTGTGCTTCATTGCACAGTTACCACAGGCTCCTTCCTGCAGCTCGCCATAGTGATGGCAGGCAGAGAAGAAGGGACGAGCCCGAGCACTGCCCCGATCATGTACACACTGGTCACAGCCAGCATCCATGTCTCCTACAGCCTGGATGTACCAAGCCGTTGTCTGTTGTGGGTGGTCAGACTCCACCACACCAGCAACACCATACGGACGGGCCAATTCCACGCCAACCACAATTGGGGGTAGGGATGGTATTTTGACCCTCTCATACTCCGGCAAGTCATCATGGAGGTCAGCCCTGATCTCAACCAGAGCCATGTCTTGAGGCTTGATTTCACCAATAAACAGTCATTGTGAGTCACGTACGGAGCTGTGCGAGAGTGGAAAGTTGGTGCTTGGTAGTGGCGGGGGTGGGGGTAGAAAAAGGTTGTTGGCCCAGAACTCCAAATTCAGACCCATACGGATTTGCCTGCGAGCCTTCCTACTTAGTATGCGGTACTGGAATACATGGGGGGGTGTGTTGTAATATGTCACATGATCTCAGCACCACTTCCCCGCAATTTCAGGCAGCAATAGATAGACAGAACAACACGCATATTACTCAACAACCTCCGTCCTGGCACCGTAGCTCACGTGTTATGACCACGCATGTGATGCGTTCGTGACAATTATACCCCCCTTTGAGGCTCAAGCCCCTTTGAGCCCTGGGTTGCCAACTTCTGTGAAGTGAGGTTATTGATGAGGGTGCCACTGCCACGCTGGCCTAATGATTAAGGCTGTCGGGGTAGGCGCTTCACCTCCGTACTGTTGTGGTGTTTTGTTGTGACCGCTTCTTCTTTTCCCTCCTTCTTCTTCTCACTTTTACCCACAACAACACCACCAACTCCTTCCTGCTTTCTGTCGCATGTAGCTACTGCTTCCCTTCTGTTGTGAGTACTGTTCTTAATACCTTGGATCCTTATACTGATAGATCTGTAGGTCTCCCTTCTCCGACCTCACTCTGACGACTTCACCATCATGGCCCCCGACAAGAAGAACAATGGCAAAGCAACTGCGGCTGCTGGAATATGCGGATTTGGAACCCCCATCTTCTCCGTACGTAGCTCACAAAGTCCTTAATCGTCTGTAGGAGCGTTCCTTGTGTTTTATCCTTTATAGTATAGACGTGGTTCATGCGGCAATTATCACATAGGAAGTGTAAGGCTTGTGTGCTGCCATCGTACGCCTCTGGCATTTGGATTAGGTCAAGGTGGACCTTCTCATATGGCACTTTTGAGCGTGGTGTAGATCTTCTAGAAATCTGCCTTGTAGCATGCGTAAGTCGGCATACTTCGCACTGAGTATCGTACGAGTCTAGGTCTGTGACGATAACTCCAGCGGTCTTCTCTTGGAGTTTTCTAATGGCGTTTTGGTTTAGGTGTCCCATGCGGTTATGCCATTCCTTTGCAGTGCCTTTTAGGTCCTTACTGTTACGACGGAACAAGAAGGCTGGCCAACTACAGGACAGGAAGGAGGGAGGTCGCATGAGACCGGCCCTGGTACCTGGAGGGGCAGCGGGGAATAGTAGTTCCGAAAGTATCACGTGACGGACTCGCAGGATGATGAGAAGAGTCCTAAGAGTCCAGGACTCCGAGGACTCGAGTGAGTTCCCAGGAGTCCACTAGGCACGTGATGGACTCGCAGGATGATGAGAAGAGTCCTAAGAGTCCAGGACTCCGAGGACTCGAGTGAGTTCCCAAGAGTCCACTAGGCACGACGCCACTATATAAGTAGATAGTATTTCCTTAGATAGGAGCTTCGTGCTCAACTCAATACAGTATTTGTTATATACTAGTAACGTGTTACTTGAAGCCTTTGTGTCTGATCCCCTGCCTCCTCTGATAAGTAAACCTTTACGCAAGAGAACCTCTGTGTCTTCTATCGTTTAGAAGTCAGCGTTACACTTTGAGCACCACTTCTACGAGGTACCGGCTTACACACAAAGCAACATGTCTGTCGTCAGTTCGAAGGGGAAAACCCCCACCACGCCAACTTCGTCTCAGAGGTCTAAGCCTGAGAATGAACAGATGCCCGATGCACCCACCGTCAACGAACTCAAGGAAACTCTACGCGTCAAGTTGCCCGACACTTACTCCGGCAACCGAAAGGAACTTGAGGTGTTTTTGCTACAGGTCGAACTGTACCAGCACTTCAACGACGAGAAGTTTCCCACCCAGGAGAGCTATGCCCTGTGGACTGCGTCCTACCTTAGGGGGGAAGCCCTGCGATGGATCGAACCATTCCTCAAGGACTATTTCAAATATGAAAGTACCAATGGAAGCATGACAACTACGCAGACTATGTTTGGCAGCTGGAATGGATTCTGTAAGGAAATCCGACGCATGTTCGGAGACATCGATGAGATTAAGACCGCAGAAGACCATCTGTTTGCACTTAAGCAGACTGGCAGCGCCCTCACGTACTCCACAGAATTCCAGAGATACGGCAATCAGACAGGATGGGACGCCAGCGCACTCATCAGCCACTACCGACGTGGGCTGAAGAGCCATATACGTATGGAACTTGCCCGTTTGGAACAACAACCAACGGACATGGTAGCGCTAATCGAACATACGGTCCGAATCGACAATCGACTATACGAATTCCAGAAGGAACGTCGGACCTATGACAAGCCAAAGAAAAGTTACCCCTACCGGGGAAACGAGGGCAGACGACGGGATCAACACCCGCGAGACAACCGTTGGTCGGACCCAATGGAACTCGATGCCACGTTCAAACCTGGACGACCCCGTGACCCTAAGAAAGACAGACAATTCAAGGAACGACTCTGTTTTAACTGCGACAAGCCAGGCCACATGGCCCGAGACTGCAGACAGCCAAAGAAAGGGAACGGCGGACGCAAAGTCGGCAAACAACTCAATGCCACCTGGACAGGACAGTTGAACGCAACGTTTGTGAGCAAACACGACTGGGGAATAAACGGCGAAAGCACCCCAGAAGACGAGAGCTCAGATGAAGGGTCGGAGGCGGAATCGTTCACCGTCTCGGAACAGGAGACCTTCGATGAACTCGCACCTACGGAACAAATGAGTCCACGGTGCAAGAACGTAGTAAGACGCATGGCAAAACACGCCCACGCAAAGATTAGGGCCGAACGAGACAAGCCCAATGGCCAGAGGAAAATCCCCATGCTTAAAGACCTCTACGGGAACCTGTTACAGGAACTTCCGTTAAAATGCAAGGTGGACGACTGCAAGGATGACCTCTGGAGATACTACGACCAACTAACGAATACCCGCAGGCTGCTTGGCACGTCCCAAGACGTAGCTAAGTTGGAAGCCCAAGAAGCGGAAGAACTGGAGAAGGATGTCGAGCATATGGCTAAACTGAAGTATATGAAAAGCGTCGAACTTTACTACCAGGACCGCAGGAGAGCCCTGAAGAAGTACGACGAGAAAGCCAGAGATATGCTCCGACGGGAAAATGCGAGACCCACGCCACGCATCGAAAGGAGAGCCATGGAGCAACTAGACACGTTCTCCACGCCTCCGAGGGAAGATAGTGCATGGGTGAGAGGACAGCGGGAACTATCAACGACAGACGCAACAGAGACTGATCATCCCTGGCACGCGTATGTCTACTGGGAGTATTGCAGCGAAGATGACTGCAAGCTCCACTGGAAAAAGAAACACCAGAATCAGTTGTTTCCCCGATCCTCGCCCAGGATACACTTCAGAGACGCAGAGCAAGTTCACACCCTCAGGCGAAGCCAGTCTGAAGGGGACTTGCCTATCAAAAGCGAACAGGTATACGAAAGATATCCACACCTGCTGAACGACGCAGCAGAGACAGGGAGACGATCTCCCCAAGGACCACCATTGGAAGCGGATGAATACTATCCTTCCTCGGACGAGTCAAAAAACTAGGAGTCCTCGACGGTAGGCCACCGGCGAGCGACATGAAGAGGCCTAGTACAGACCAGCTATGCGCCACGACGGGCAGCATGCAACTATATGTGGTCGCTAAGATACAACAGCGACACCTCCGAGCAATGATTGACTCAGGAGCGACGGGCAACTTTATGACAAAGAAAGTAGCAGACACGCAAGGTTTCAAGACGCAATTGAAAACCGAACCATACCCGTTAATGGTCGTAGATGGAGAACCCATCTCGACTAATGAAGGAATGGTGACCCACGAAACGGTCCCATTGGAAATGGTCATGCTACACGGGCACAAGGAAACGATTCAGTTTGACATCGTGCACATGGACAACCATGCGTGCATCCTTGGTATGCCATGGCTCAAGAAACACAACCCCCAGATCGACTGGTGGAACGAGAAAAGTTGTGATGAGTGCGCGTGTGAACAACGAACGGACACGCGACAACGGGAGAAAACCCTCCCAGGGCCGGAAGGAGTTATGTGCAACCTCCGAGCTCGATGACCTAGCCCAGGCATCCTCACCGACGAGTATACCGGTGGAGTACAAGGAATACGAGCGATTATTCCAGGAAGGCCCTAAGAACGAGGCGCTTCCTAAGCACCAACCATGGGATCACGAGATACCTTTGGAGAAAGACAAGAGTCCACCGTTCGGACCAATATATCAGCTATCGGAAAAGGAGCTGAAGGTACTTAAGGAGTACATCGATGATAACCTAGCGAAAGGATTCATCAGACCATCCACATCACCAGCAGGAAGTCCGGTGCTTTTCGTACCAAAGAAAGACGGCTCCTACGGTTATGTGTGGACTATCGAGCGTTGAACAACATCACAATCAAGGACAGGTATGCCCTGCCGTTAATCAACGAACTACACGATAGATTTCAAGGAGCAAAGATCTTCAGTAAGCTAGATCTGCGAGGAGCATACAACCTGATCCGAATCAAGGCTGGGGAAGAGTGGAAAACAGCATTCCGCACCCGCTATGGCCTATTCGAGTATCAAGTCATGCCCTTTGGGCTAACAAACGCACCCGCATCCATGCAACGACTGAATGAATGATGCTTTGCACGAATACTTAGACATCTTTACCATTGTCTACCTAGACGATGTCCTGGTGTATTCAGCAACCAAGGAGGAGCATGTCAAGCATGTCAAACTCGTCCTGAAGAAACTAAAGGAGTACAGCTTACTCCTCAAACCAGAGAAGTGCGAGTTCCATAAAAACCAAGTCGAATTCTTGGGTTACATTAT